ACTCTTGAGCTGTAGAGTAAAGATACACGCGGTGGGCAAAGGAAGCAATCTAATCTTATCAGTGTTGTATCGCTAACTAAGCCCAAGATTTTCTTACTGATTGCTCTGGGCAATAAGCGCTTTCAGTCAAGCCAGATTCTCTTATCTTTCTTTACCTTTAACGAGTAAGCAAGACTGTGTTCCTTATTCAACTTGGTGCAACTGATAAGAATCTTCATTATAGTCATGTTCATTCGCTCTGCCTGACTATTTTACGATGGTGTGTAGTGGACTTTGAAGTTTCTCAAAATTCATTTCAATTTTTAGAGTGCATTAAATTCTCCTGAACAAAATTTCAGCCCATTATCAGTGCAAAGGTGTTTCATCTGCTTTCTAATATGCTTCTTGATCGTAATCTTTCACTCCTTAAAAGTTATTAAAAGATCACTCTTATTGACACGGGAGCTTACCGCCAACCATACTGTAGCAACTACAGTACCGTGAATGCAGTTACTATAGTTGTTATAGTAACCGCAACCCCCTTTCCTATTTAATCTCTTTCCTTTCATTTCTTTTCCTTTCTATTTCTGATGATTTTCCATTATTTCCTTATCTGCTTCTTTCATATTCCTCTCCTTGCATATTATGAATCTTTTCTATCCTACTCTATATTGATTTTATCTAATAATTACCTCTTCATATAGGTGTTGTTTTTTGAGGTTAGGGAGGAGTTTTTATGAGTGCAGATTTCTGAGTACTGACTTAGAGGCGTTCTCCCTCTCCAGGGGCTGCATCCGACGATGAGAAGGTTTTCTGACTGTCATTCGTCCAAGGTGGTGATCGTCTCTAAGGGTCCGAGTAGTGCTCTAGTTGTAGCTCGACCCCAACATGACATTTCTTCTTCTGCAGCCCCTCGGGCCCCGCTTCCAACAGCCACAAACCACTCAACCTTCTTGTCATCTTCATTCTCTGTTGTTGTTTGATGTTTCATGCAGCTATTCTGCCACTGCCAACCGCGCCAACACCCTCTCTGCTGCTATTCAATGCTTCCAACAACTGTCTTGTTGCCGCCAACCCCACTAAGACCTTCCTCACTGTTGTTTGGTGCTTTCTGCAGTTGTCCCTGCACCCTTCAGCAACTGCAGCCCCTCCTCTACAGTTGTCAGCCACCTTCCAGCCTTCTTTCAGGAACCGCAGCCATTTTCCATCAGTCATGAACTCACCGTTCGGCAGGCTCCGCCAACGTTGTCACCGATGGATATCTTTTATTATTTATGTTGTTTGTGTTTGTTTCACGTTGTCACCGGTGGATATCTTTTATTGTTTATGTTGTTTGTGTTTGTTTGTCATTACTTCATGTTTTTTCAAGTGTCGTGTTTATAATTTGTTTGAAATTCAGACATAATACTTTGTGCTTCCGTTGTGGTTTAGGTGTTCTCCAGTATCATTTGGTATCAGAACTAACCTAACCATAGCCTTCTCCTAGGGTTCCCCAGCATCCGGCCCCACCAAGCCACCTCCTACCAACATTTTTCAACCCTAAAAGCTTCGACAGATGAAGTTGAAGCTCCCCGACCCCAGGAGATTAGCACGACAACTTACCACTCGTGGTACTGTAACAACAACAATATCACGGACGCGGTTACTGTAGCAACTACAGTGACTACGTCTCCCTTTTACTATTTAATCCCTTTCCTTTTCTGTCATAAAAATTTCCCATTACAATTCATTTCCTTCTTTACTTATTTCATATTCCTCTCCTTGCCTATTATATATCTTTCATATCATACTCTTTACCTATTTTATCTACTAATCCCCTATTCAAATAGGTATTGTTTTCTGAGGTTACAGAGGAGTTTTTATGAGTGCAAATTTATGAGTGTTGCCTTAGATGCATTCTTCCCCTCTGGGGGTTGTACCCGAATGTGCTCCGGATGTAACCCGTCCAAGGTGGCGGCCGTATCCAAGGGTCCGGATGGTGCTTCGGCTGTAGCTCGACCCCGAAGAGACATTTATCCTTCCGCAGTCCCCTCCGACCCTACTTCCAACAGCCGCAAACCACTCAACCATACTATCATCTTCATTTCTTGTTGTTGTTTGACGTTTCCTACAATTATTCTACTGCTGCCAACCGTGCCAACATCCTCCCTATTGTTGTTCGACACTTCCAGCAACTGTCCTGTTGTCGCCAGACCCGCCGCCACCTTCCTCATTACTTTTCGGCGCTTCCGCAGCTATCCCTGCACCCTCTAGCAATCGCAGCCCCTTCCTCACAGCCGCCAGCCACCTTCTAGCCTTCTTTCAGCAACCACAGTCATTTCCCATCAGCCGCCAACCTACAATCCAGCAACCACCATTCACGTTGTCGCATGCAGGTATCTTTTATTGTGTATATTATTTGTGTTTATTTGTCATTACTTCCTGGTTTCTCAAGTGTCATGTTTGTAATATGTTTGGAATTTAAATATAATAATTTGTGTTTCTTGTGGTTTGGGTTTCCTCCGATATCATTTATACTTCAAAAAGAAAATTCAAACTTTTTAAGAGAAATCATCAATGAATGTCAACATATATTTGACACCACCTTCAAATGATATTATAGATAGTCATCAAAGGTCAGAATATATGTAATTTAATATTTAATTGATAGCGTGAATGTTAGTATTGAACTTAACTCTTTTCTATTTTTTAAATATAAAGTGTTTACAAGACTTTAATTTAGTAATGCTCTAACTAATTGGAAGGCATCTCCTACTCAGTTCAGTTATCTCATTCTCACACATATATCCAAGAGCATGTGTCAAATTTTGATTGCTTCATTATCTTAGTAACTGCTACAACACATAAAATATAAAGCCTTGCAAGATATAACGTTTAGTAGCTTTCTTCTATTATTTCATCATACCAACAAAGTCTTTATTGACCTTTAAAACTCCACCTTCACCTTAATATTTATACCCTTCAATATCAAGCATGCTTAAAGAAATTAAATTCCTTTTCAAATTTCAGTCAAGTCTTTACATCTCCAAGCGCTCTAGTGACTTCATCGAATGTTTTGATTATAATAGTTCCAATATTGATCATCTTACAAGGACCATTACTACTCATTAGCACATAACCCATCGACACCATTTCATATGTTAAAAATTAGTCCCTATTGGGACACATATGAAATGTGCAAGTTGAATCAAGAACTCGATCATAAGATTTGACATCATAGATAACTAGATATTCACAAGCACCGACTTCTTCAACAACATTGGCTTCACCAAAGTTATCTGATTGTTTGTCTTTTTGATTAGAAGATATTTTTTTTTAAATTTTGCAGCTTGTAATATACAAATTTGATATATCCCTTTTTTCTTACAATAATTGAAAACCTTACTTTTATTTCTTGATTTTGATATTTCTTCATATTGGCATCATAACTTCTCTTTTGAGTTTTACCTCGAATGACAAGTTCTTTTTCCTTAGCGACATATTCATCCACAAATTGCTTCATATTCTCTTTAAAAAAATAGAGCATCATATACTTCGTATAGAGCAAGTGTCTCTCACCCATACAAGATAGTATCTCTAAACATTGTGTATGATGAAGGTAACCGGCACATGATTAATGAAAAATCTTTTTTGTCATGCAAAATTTCCATGACTTCTAAATTAGAGACAATTTTCTAAAAGACAGTTAGGTGATCTATAAGAGTTGCACCTTCTATCAGTCTTCAAGGGTGCAAATGTTGTTTCAAGTGCACTTTACTAATCAAATATTTTTTCATGCACAATTGCTCTAATTTTAACCATTATACAATAATGATCTTGTTTTTTTTTTTTTAATATCCTATAAAATCTAATTAGGCAATTGAAAATGAATTTGGAAGTCTTTCAATATTGTTGCTCTAATTTTAACCATAATACAATAATGATCTTGTTTTTTTTTTTAAATATCCTATAAAATCTAATTTGGCAATTGAAAATGAATTTGGAAGTCTTTCAATATTTACAATGCTTCTACTCCAACGACTATGATAAATACATATTTTCAAACCCAAATAGAGTGTCATCTAAATCTATATGTGCAAAAACAAGTCACAACTTAACATGTCAAAGTGAAAATTTGGTATTGTGATCTAAAAGATGGATGTGTTGTCACCGTTGAGACCAAAATTTTGCTCTAATACTACTTGTTATCACTTGAAATTAAATTGATACACCAAACAATGAAAAAAATAAAAGAAAGAATACAAATTTACTTGAAAAACCCAAGTTGAAAAAAATCAAGGGTAAAGAAAAAAATTCACTATATGAAATAAGAAATTACAAGTGGTCGACTTTAACCAACATAAAACCAAAGTAGGGGAACAATAGTTAACTTGTACAAAATGAAGAGGGGTTTTATAAAATTTAACAAGATCCCTTTAAAGAGAACGATTAAAAGATAGCCAATAAAATAAGAGCATGCGGATTGCAATCTAAAGATTATTATAAAACTGACCAAAAAGTAGAAGCCTCTAATCTGTGCGCTAAGAGTTTCCTTCTAAAACTTTAATTTGTGTGCTCACAACTTTTTATAAGACAAGCAGGACCCACAAAATTTGGGTCACAAATTTAACAACAATGTGTATAATTGTGTACTTAGTGCACAGCGAGCCGACACTAACATTATATGAAAATAACGCTAATCTCGGTTTCCACAGAGTATAATTTCCTCCAAATAGTTAACATTCATGCTACCCTGCCCTCAAACCATCCATATTGGCCATTTTTACATCAAATAAACCATTAGAAGAAAACCCAAAACCTAAGGATTTTTTCGTTCTGAAGGAATTGCAAGGAAGGAAAAGAAAAGCAACTGATAGCGAAAATGATTAGGGAGATTAATTTAGATTTGTTTTTTTATCGAAACTCGTTTCCATTAGCAAAACTGGAACCAAACACACAGCATAAAATTGTAAGTAGCATGCATTTGCATTCCCCGTCAATTCCTTTAAACCAAACATGCCCTTAAAAGCGTCGTTACTTACCGACTGCACGATTGCATCAAAGAACCTCAACTCAACCTCGGCTAACCGATTGGCTGCACAAACCCTCATGCCCTTTACTACTACATCGCAGTTCTTGTCCTGCAGTTGCGACGACGCCAGCCGAAATCGCTTTCGGAACTCCTCAACGCTCTCAATGTTCTTGAATCCTTCAACGGTGTATACCTCGTCGTATTCTTGGGGGAAATCGCAGTACATTACAAGAAGTTTGTCGCCCTCCAAACGAAGCCGGACGGAGTACCAGGCTTCATCATGAGATCTGAAATCCAACATTGGCGACACCTCGGCGGCATCCACTTGGCGCTTCGCTGACATTGTCGTTTCGATTGCGGAGAACGGAAGCCGGAGCGTCGGGAAAATTTATTTACTCAGGAGGACTCCGATGACTAGAGTGAGTGGAACCGGATCCCACTACATATAAAAATTCAAAAAAATCTCAGTTAAGGTGACCCGGTCCGAATCACCGCTGAGAAAAATAATATGTGCATTTTTTCCTGAATCCGGCCCGAATTTAATCCGCCGGGCACCGAAACAGACAAAAAATGACTTTAAGTTAGATTTGGGGATTTTTGTAAGTTCGCATTCGGACACCTTCCTGCTTCTTTTTCGACTCTCTTCGGCTCTTCGGACGGTTGTTTGTCTTCGTCGGTAGTGGTTCTCCGTTCAGACAGCTTGGTGGTAGTTCTGCATTCGGTTTTTACTTTTTAAAAAGAAAGCTCGGTTTCTTAATACTCATTATAAATATTAGTGTTTTGTCGTTCGGCAACAACAAGTGATTTGTTTTCTTTCGCTTTTTAGCACACAAAATGGAATGTCACCAAGGTATGGAAGAAGAAGCTAGCGGTCCCCTGAAGTCGTTGAAGTAAGTACATTGTTTATTTTAGAGAAAAAGTTGAAGTTATAATGGTGTTATAGTAGTGTTATAGTCATGTTATAGTCGTGTTATTGTGTGATTGTGTGTTATAAATGTGTTATTTTGTGTTATTGTTGTGTTTTATTGTTATAATTGTGTTATATGTGTTATTGTTGTGTTATGTTATTTAGAGATATGTTATAGATGTGTTATTGTGTGTTATAGATGTGTTATTGTGTTATAGATGTGTTATTGTGTTATTGTTGTGTTATGTTATTATAATGATGTTATAGATGTGTTATTGTGTGTTATTGTTATGTTATGTTATTAGAATTGTGGTATAGATGTCTTATTGTGTGTTATTGTTGTCTTATAGTTGTGTTATAGTTGTAACATAAGCATAACACAATCATAACACATTCATAACACACGATAACACAAAATTAACATAACAGTAACACAATAATAACACAATAATAAAATAAAAATAACGCAACAATAACACAATTATAACACAATAGTAACACATATCAACTTATCTGTAACACAACAATAATTGAACTATTGCAGTCATATAACACGTATGTAACACAATAATAACACATTTGTAACCCAACAATAACACATATGTAATAATAACAATTGAGTCATTTTAAAATGTGTGAATGGAGAATGTTTTATATAATAATATTTCCTATGTTTGTTGTTGTAGGTATACAAACGCAGAAACGTTCAATTGTAGATGTCGCCCTTCCGCAGTGAGGAGTGCACTCAATACAGTTAGACACATTGTACTTTTTAAGAGAAATAAATGTCAGTCAGTTTTTTGGCACGCCTCCTTATCCCCAAGATAATGTGTTCACTCTACATATCATGGGATTCTAGAATAATGAAAGAAGAGCTTTTGTGATGGGTTGGAAGTTGGTAAAATTCCACGTCGACCATGTGGCGCTGTTGTTAGGCATGCCCAACTGGGGAGAATCTGTTAGTTGGAGGAAAACTCTATCATCCCTTGTAGATTTGAGAGCAAAAAAGAAAGATTTGATTAAGTCTTCAGTAAAGTCTTCCACTCATTTTGAGAAACTATTTCTTTAAGTTTTTACTGATAAATTTATTCTTTCCCTCAAGCAATTTCGGTCTGCCTGCAGGTCTTTATGCATTTGGAGAGAACGTACAGACCTTCTCTTCGTTTAACTGGTCTGCTGTCATCTGTGATTATATGATTGATCAAATGAATTTTGTTGCAATCAAAATAAGGTGGAATCAGCCACTTGGTTACATATATGGTTTTGTATTTCTTTTATTTGTAAGTTCATATTGTCCACATTTAAAAATTTTCTTTTTCACTAATTATTTTTTATGTTTTTTGTCTTCTGATAAAATGATTTTTGATATGTGTGTTATCTGCAGCTTTGATATTTTGAGCACACAACTCTGTTTACTCCTATACACCTGAGGTTATACCACGAATGTTGAGGTAGCCAAAAATTCATGGATAGACAACAACACAAATTCATGAAGCCTTTAAGGTGCTCGAGCATGTACCGGGAAGTAATATTATTTGTAATAAAATTTAATTTGGGTAATTTTCAATGTTGCTTTAATAAATATAGGTAAAACATTGTGATTTTTTATGTATGTTAATGACACCTTCATCGACTTGAAGGAAGATGAGCTTCACATGTTGTCCAATCCTGAGCATTGAACACCCAGCTCTGCCATGACTCTTCCTTGTACTGGTCGTTGTGAAACTCCAGTCGAACCGCCATCACCAAAATCCCAATGTGTTGGTATAATTGTTTCAAGTGAGGTGACCCCATAAGCAACACATAAAAGGGGAGGTAATGAACTTGAAGGAATAATCGAGCTACTTAAATCTCAACAACAAATAAGTTTAAGTTTACAAGAATCTATGTTTGTCATGAATAAACAAATGACTAATGTTGAAGAGTCACTTTCCACCATCACAAATATAGTTAAGAGATCAAAAGAAACCAAAGCTGATAAAGAGCATGCAAGTCGCCGAAAGAGTAAGTCCAAAGATGTGAAAAGAAAAAGGAGCATAATTAATGAGAATTTACCAGTTCACATCAAATAGCCATCTGAAGTTCCTGCTGTTCGGGATGACACTTTATATTTCAATTTTTTAGTTAGTGTTTATAATTATTTTTTTTTATTCTGTAGCCTCGTATTGTTGCATCTTACCTAGAATATCCTGGTAGATCATTAGTACCACGTGAGATGCAAGATATTATTGATAATTGTATTGCTACATATACGGGGGTATAACTTTTAACAGTAGTTTTCATTTTATGTAATAGTTTGATATTCAGATGTGACAATATTTTTTTCTTAAATATACAAACATGATTTTCTTGCAAATAATGGTTTTGGAAGAGCAATTGACCCAACCGGCCTCGAGTATGTATTGTTAAATGAGTGGTTTGGAAACGAACATGTTGATGTTTTTGCTGACATTTTGCTTGAAAGAATTGTCAGGTCACATGAATTATACAGACCTTACCTCTTTGTAACGTCGCAATATTGGGTAATTGCAATTGTTTAATTTATCCATATTTTTATGGCTCATACTTTCATTGTAGACACAATTCAATTTAACAACTTTTGCAGATGCATTGGAAATTGGATAGTCCCGCTTTCTTGAAATATATCACGAAGAAAAGTATAAATGAAGCACAAGTTATATTATTTCCTATAATTCATAATGGCCATTAGACTTTGTTGGTGGGTGAGCTGAAATTGAGAAAATGGAAATTGTACGACTCTCTGCCCAACAGTGTGTATAGGAATGTTGCCCACAAAGTTGTAAGTGTATTACGCACTAATAACATCTAATGTCACATAAATAACACTCTCATAACCTTTGCAGGTGAAGTTGTTTGCAAAGGATGCTGCAAAGGCTTTTCCTAGAGCCAAACTTGCGACATGGGGATTTACACTTGTTAGGGGTGTACCAATGCAAAGCAATAGTGTTGATTATGGTATATTCATATGCAAATTCATGAAAATTGTAGTATTGGCACAACCACAATATATTGATTGGACCCCGTATCTTAACTGACAAGAAGACATTGAGAGATTTATAACTGAATTTGTTTACGCCCTATGTATGTGGTCCAAGAATAAAACTGATTAAAAATGTACTAATATACATGTTCTAAATTGTGTTTTAGCAGTCTATTTTGACTATCCAGTAGTAAAATAATATTTGTGCTAAATAATACCATGTATAGATTGTTTCGTCTTCTTTATTATCTCCTTCGAATGAAATAATGTATTTTAAAAATTTATTTTATCTTTTGAATTTTATATTAACATAGGTTTTACTATGTTAAGAAGTAGCTATTTTACGGAATAAAACTTTTATTTTGAAAATTTCATGTTATAATGTCATATAACACGATAAATTTTAAAATAACGCATCAATAATTCGTTATAACACATGAATTTTGAGCAATAACGTGTCAATATTGTGGTACAACAGTTGAATTTTTCCAAATAACACATTAATAATTCGTTATAACGCATGTATTTTCAAAATAATGTGTATATATTATCATATAACACGATGATTTAAAAAGTAATGTGGTTAAATTAAATTATAGCACATTATTTTCGATAAATAATGCGTAAATAATACCACGGGACGGCGAAATAACACAGACCTGCGTTATATGGCAGTTGTATAACACATGGGGAATATTCCCCATGTGTTATACTGTGGGACTGTGTTATAACACATGCCTGGGTTGTAATACCGCAGGTAAAGGTGTCATAGGAATTCAGTATAACACATGGGGAATGTTCCTAATGTGTTATAGCGTCGGACTGCATTGTAACATAATCATGCGTTATAATACCGCGGGTAGAAGTATTATAGGCAACGGTATAACACATGAGGAATATTTCCCATGTGTTATATCACGCGATGGTGGATTTTTACAAGTGTTATAAGTGTTTTTCCTATATTATTGTTGTGTTATTGTACTATTTTGAGGTGTTATTGAGATGAGTATATGTTTTAAATAGGTGTTATCGGCTGCAGAATAACATGGGCCTGCATTATAGGCGGTGGTTTAACACGATTCGGCATCATGGTGCAATTTGAGCCTCAAATGGACGTGTTATAGCATTAATTATGTAATAATATATATGTTACCGTTACTATAAATATTACATCATAACATATAATTTTAAATATGCTATATATAATAAATAGATTAAATAACATTAATCATGAATCTGCCATTTTATCTAGCCAATCAATCATTAAATATATTTTGATACGATTAGCAATATAGCAATTTATATTGATTACTTAATAACATATACTATAACAGGTAATATATATAATTAATTGAATATTATAACATATAATATAATATACCATTAATGAATCATGAAAACATTTAATAAAATGATTTTAGTAAACAACCATTAAAATTACATATAGATCACTTAGTGATGAACATGTCACAAGTGTTGTTGAAAGACATTGACTTGATAATATTACAATTATAGAT